TTTTTTTTTTTTTTTTTTTTGGAGAACACCTTTATACTCTTCTTCAGGCCTGATGCATAAAATGACGGAGAACAGTGAATCCAGTAGCATGGGCATGGTCCATTATCCGAAGCAAAATACCAGAGTTTAACGCGGAAAAGAAAAATATTCCATGCATAGCTTTCTATTCATACGAGCGGCATTTAAAAAAAATTTAAAGTACAGTTCACAGAGTACAGTCATTAAATTTCGTGTCTCTATGTGTAGGAGACGGTGTAATTTAGGCATCAGAATCAATTGGGGCGACAAGTGCGACCCCTGTGCCAAAGTTTACTGGAACCCAGCGTCGGAAAAAGTCCCATATGTTGTCCTGATGTCGCATCCTTTGAGTCTGTACAGAAGTGAGTACAAAAATACACAGAAACGGCAAATTTTTTTCAATTTTTTTCAGAGATGAGAGTATGAGGCACATATTCTGTGGCTGCATTGAAAAATTAGTAATAGACGATTTCCTTTGAGAAAAATCTGTTGTGATTCGAATTGAATAACAATACTGCATAACAATATTGTATGATGAAGAATTTTAAAAACAACAAAAAACATAAAAGAAAATAGAGGCACAATTTCATGACTGTATAACATACAGTCAATTTTCTGTTGTCACAAAAACATATGCAGTACAGGTGGTACCTTGAAATTTGACATCCAGCAATTCAACCATCCCACAATTTGATTTTCAACTTTTGCTGGGACATCAACTTGCAAATTGACCTCTTGTCCCTCAATTCAACCTGCAGAGAGATTCAAGTAGTCTAATTTGTTGTAGAAACATTGAGTTTGACATTGTCTCACAATAATTCAACTGCTTTGCAATTCAACCCTTACCTGACAACATTTTAGTGTCAAATTGCAGGGCACCACCTGTATACTGCACACAGTAGAATCTTATCACAATGAAGTATTATTTGGAGCCTTAAAAAGCTTCATTAATTGTTACGTAAATACCAAATCAAGTAAAAGTTCTGCTCACTGATTCTAGGGTATTGGTTGAAATTGAATGTTTTCAGCTTGTCTCTGTGTTATATTTTAACCTGGAGATTTTATTTTATTGAAGACAA